CGACCGCACAATTCACAAAGGTATTCTCTGCCTTATGCCTCCTAAGTTTTATTGAACAAAATACAATTAAAGAGACAATACATCAAAAAATAGCAACAGAGGAGCGTTCACAACAGATTTTTCCATCTATCAAAATGGGATGTAACCATTGCCTATTTAGAATGTTTCTTAATCTTACCCACAAGCTCTGCACATTCGCTGTATATCGTATATGGGCAAGAGCACCTAAATCAAATGTTTATGTTAGACTGCAAAATCTACTTGCTATTTGGGTAGCAAAAGCGAACCCATTTTCATTAGATATGCAGCATCTGTAGAAATTAAATCTTTTTTATTTAGGTTTGTAAAAACTATTTACATAATCTAGTTCTGTATTTGTCAATTATATTTAATTTGAAACATTTTAAATCCATTTGGGGTTAGCTTAACCTCCTGACTAAACATCCATTTTTATAAGGATATAACTTTTTAATACAGAAGAATGTCTTGAGAATTATTTGTTTAATGTTTTTCATTTACTGGCGAATGCTAAAGTAGAATTTATTATATAACTAAAAAACCCCTCAACAACCTAGCTTTAATATTTCTTCTAGTTTTACCTTAAAAATCTTGTGTTATTATGTTGCCTTTCCAACCAGTCTTTCTCTCCAAAACTCACACATAGGCTTGTCGTCTTAAGACCAATGAAAGTTCTTCTATTAATTAATTTTTCTAGTGACATGCAAACAAGAGCGATGAGTATGTTTCCACCTTTATTACTTATTTTTCCCCTCTTTGGGAAGTAAGACGATGATCCCTGATATGGTCATTCTGTGAAATTATTTCCACTGTAAATTTAAATCTTGTGTCCGCTTAAAAGATGACTGAGTGACCTACCTTTTTTTCCCCAAAGGCTACAGTAGCCTTCAAGCTAACAAATTATACTAGTCAGTCTAAATTTTCTACTCATTAATTTTAACCATTTAAGCCTTTTTTTATATCCAGTTGTATCACATTACCATTTCCTCATTATTCTACCAATGCCTGCTGTTAAGTATATGCCAAGTACTGCAGCACTCCACCTTTTTAAGGAAACAGGGTCTTTCACCTGAAATACCCAAGAAAGCCATTAACCGTTTTCACTTCATCTTCTGTTTTGACGCTCCATGATTCTGAAAGAATCCATAAGTTTCCAAGTGCAGTCATACAGTAACTGCCTGGAAGGGACACACCACTTCATATCTCGCAAGGGAAAAAAATATTAACCATATTTTGAGTTATTCAAAACCTAGGAACAGATCCAACAGTGGCAAAGAAACGGGCAATGGGAAATTCAAAGCTATGCTGGCTCATCTTCATTCAAAGATTACATACCTGTAATATCTCAGAGTGGCTTATAGCTGCATGGGCCTCACTTGGAAAAGGTATCACATGATCTGGAAAAAAGCTCTCTAACAATAACAATTTGTGTCAAAGTTCAAGAAAAATAAGTATAAAACTTCCTATCTCTTTTAGATGTAAAATTGAAGCTCTCCATGCCCTGCAAGACACTGCAAATTCTCTGATCCAGTAATTCACATTTGCCTTACTACCATTCCTAAACTTGTGGAATCTGATAAATCATTTACTGAAAACCGTAAAGATTTTGAGAAAACATCAGCAGTTTCTGGAAGCAAGAGGGTTTCCTACACCAGCACTTGGCCCTTAGTGCTGTTTTTCTAGTGGTAATTTCTATTGCTGCTGACGTGTAAGAGTGGCCTTGGGGTTCAGTGTGCTGCAAAGCAGGAGCAATATATGCCAACATTATTTTCTATTGCTTTCCTTACACTAGAAACCCAGCAAACTGTTTTTGGAATAACTGCCAGTCATAGAGAATAAATCCTCTCAGCTTTTACCTAACTATCCACTTTGTGTATGAATATCAGTTAAATCCGACTGTATCAATATGGTATGGCTAAAAGTCCACATTTAAAGTGTTTATTTCATTATCAAGGTAAGCTCAGGGGGTACTTTATGGATAGACTTGCAGCTGGGGAGTTCAATACAGTCATGCAAGTATGAACCAGCCAAGAATTTGATCATTACTTATGAAGTAAAGGCACAGCTACAGGTTGGGCAAAGAAGAGATTCAAAGCAGCCCTGTGGAGAAGGACTTGGGGTGTTGGTTGATAATTAAATGAACATGAACCGGCTTCAGTGTGCGCTCCCAGCCCAGAAAGCAACCGTATCCTGGGCTGCAGCAAAAGGAGCGTGACCAGCAGGTCAAAGGAGGTGATCCTGCCCCTCTACTCTGCTCTGGTGAGACCTCACCTGGAGTACTGTGTGCAGTTCTGGTGTCCTCAACATAAAAAGGACATGGATCTGTTGGAATAAGTCCAGAGGAGGCCACGAGGATGATCAGGCGACTGGAGCACCTCCTGTATAAAGATCAGCTGAGAAAGTTGGGGCTGTTCAGCCTGGAGAAGAGAAGGCTGCATGGAGATCTCCCCCAGTATCGGAAGGGGGCTACAGGGATGCTGGGGAGGGAGTTTTCATTAGGGATTGTAGTGACAGGACAAGGGGTAATGGGTTAAAACTTAAACAGGGGAAGTTTAGACTGGATACAGGAAAGAAATTCTTTCCTGTAAGGGTGGTGAGGCACTTGAATGGGTTGCCCAGGGAGGCTGTGAATGCTCCATCCCTGAGGGTGCTCAAGGTCAGGTTGGACGAAGCCTGAGTAGCATGGTTTAGTGTGAGGTGTCCCTGCAGGGGGGTTGGAACTTGATGATCTTAAGGTCCTTTCCAACCCTAACTATTCTATAATTCCATGATTCTAAGTTTTCTCAAGGCCTGGACAAGTTTGAAGCTAATATTCCCTTGACCATCCGATGTCCAGTGACCTACATTTCTAATAAAAATGAACTACTGGTAGGGTTGCTTCATATCAACAAAGCATCCCTGCTACACCTGGGTTCACAGTACCCAGAAGAATGACTCAACAGAAACAGTAAGGTCTCTGATCAACCACAGTTGCTTATGCTAGTCATAGCTGCATGTCTGCCACACTCCACAGCTGGTTCCATGCACTGGTTAACCAACACACTTCTTTGAAAGCTTCTCAACTAACCATTGACTGTCTCAAGCTTAGAATTTTTCACTGGTGCAATGATACCTCTATGTTGGGGAGTACATGATCTGCCCAGAGAAACACAGGTGGAGAAAGAAAAAAGCCTCAGATCTCTTGCATCTTTTGTTAACTTAATATTTACCTTTTCATCCTTTTCACAGGTAGATAATTTGACTTCCCTTTCACTTTTCACCTTTCAAGTCCTCACACATTTCTGCTATTTCTCCCTTTGACATCTGAAACGAGCTGGCTTTACAAGAGATAGCATTAGGAGCGACCCAAATGCACCATGCCTTTGAGCAACCAGATGGTGAACTCCTCCAGCTGAGCCAGGGCTGCTTTCACGGCCTTGCCATCAGCCACGATCTGAACCAGCAACATTAACCTTTGGCCACATCCTTGAGTTACAAGTTGTCTCTGCTCTCCTTCCATTCCTTACATACACTAACTCTGGCTTCACTTCCACTTGCTCATAATAGGCTACAGCTGCTCACAGCCTTTTGTGTCATCTGTCATTTAGCTGCCGCTGTGAGAAGCTGCCATTGGGCAGCACTGGCCCATAACATCTGATTTTCACTTTAACAATAAAACCCATCTTTGCTACAGATGCCCCTCCTCACACTGCTTCATTTCATGTTTTGTTGTCACTTGATAGAAACTTCACTCAATTTCAATAACTTTATTTTGTTGCAGGTCTATATGAAAACTTTAATAAGTTAAGTCTATGTCTGTATGGTGTTTATAGCTGAGATTAATTAACAGTTGAGCTAGTGGAGAGGCAAAGATGTGTTCCTTGGCCTCCCTCTGCTCAGCTTTGGGCCAAGGCAGGGGAGCAGGCCTGCTGTCCTGTGGCTGGTCACTGCACTAAGGTGGTCATGTGTTGTCAGAAGCCCCAGCAGAAAGAGGCGATGCTTAAAGGCTGGTAGTTGCGAAGCAGAGCAGGAGAGGTGGGCAGGCTGCTTTACCTTTCCTGGGCGGTAGTCTGCTGGCCCTGGCTTCCCTGTTTTGTCTCCTCCAAGGTTGCTTTTAATTCCATCATGTATATGGGAGCCCATTTTTTGTAGACGTCCAGTTCCACCTTGGGGAATGCAGCAGGACCTGGTGTCCGTAAGAGAGATACGCGGGTTGCTGGGTACACAAGTGTTCTGCTGACAGGCAGGCTACTCCACAAAATGATCACACACTAGCTGTATAAGATGCACAGTGTATTAAACAAGCACACTAAAGCAAACAAGCATAGTAAAGCGAACTGGGTAAATATTTCTATACAGTAAGTTAGTACAAGACAAATTGTGTATATGTATGTAAGTAAAGTACAGAGGACAATTACCAATGCATCAAATCAATACTGCATAGAGAGAACAGAGATTAAGAAGAAAGACATCACTAGTCACCACTGAACCATCCTCCCAGCACACACTTCAGCTGGGAAGCCCCACTGCAGCTGATGCTGGCAGTCTCAGGTAAATGGGAAAGTTCCTATGATGTCCATCCACCCATAGGTGAGGCCTTGGAGTCAGGTACAAGAGGCTCCTGCTTTTATACCCTTAGAAACACAAGGGGCTTTATGCCAGCTCTGCCACTGTTTACTCGTGGAGCCGTGCAGTTTCCCATCATCTCAGTGTTGGCCACACCGAGAGCACTGGCCAGGCACTCTGGTGTGCCCAAGTGGGAAGCTCATAGAACAGCTGCACCCTCATGGTTTCCTGCCCCTTTCCGACAAACAGTCACCATGAACATACACACATGGACTCTGCCAAATTCACTGTGACAAAACCACACTGTGTTATGTCTCTCAGTCAGGAGAGGGAATCAACTCTCATCTAGGCTCCCATCCATTACACACTCAGAGCCAAATCCAAGCAGAGGAGCTGTATGCACATGGAGATGAAAATGATAATGGAGGTAAGAAAAATAATATCAAGAAATATTTTGTTTTCACAACATAATGGAAAACAACAAAAATTGTCTTCCTGATGTAGACACTCAAGTTTTCTACTGCAACTGAAAATAATCTGAACAAAACAAAACTCTCTTGGAGCCAAGACTACCCATTTTCTAAGAGCCTTCTGAGCTTTCACAATGGCACACACAGTCCTGACTTCCACAGGAGGAACCCAAAGGTATGCTTCTGTTTAGCTGGACATTTGTGATGGAGGATCTGTGGGAGTATTGGCCTTGAATATCCCATGAGGGAGAGAAACTCTGCTTTTATAGCAGGTACACAGGGCTATGACTTCAGTTTTCCAGAGAAAAAGAATGTTGTGCTCTGATTTGATTAACCCTAGTGTGATTGATGGAAGAAGCCTCAGTGTCTGTATTTCAGGCAGCTTTGCTTGTACAAGTCACACAGTGTTTCTGGTGAAGATTTCATGAGCCACACGCCTGACAAATTACTTTGCCCTTTTAAATAGAGAAAGAATTCATTTCACACAGTATCTGCAAACTGTGAACAACACTCATAAGAAGAGGAGTTGACCTTACAAGGTGCTGTGCTTATTCAGCCCTGCAGATAGAAGAGATCCTTCAAGTCTGTGCTGTGGGCCCACTTCAGGTTTTAGTTAGGCCGTAGTGCCTGCCCATCACAAATCCATGGATCTTGGTGACAATTCATTTTCAACTATGGTACAGTTCCCTCAGGAGATCCAGTATCAATATCTCCAGATGTCTCTATAGACTAGTGCCAGTTTGCTTAGTCACTGCACTCACACAAAACAGCAAGTCCAGTGTCTGCAAGGAAAAGGATTCTTATCCCCCTGAGGGTGCCCGAGCACAGTCACTGTATCTCACAAGTGAGATTCCGCCAGAGCTGAGAATCACGATTCTGCTATTTTGATGGTTGCCACCAAATAGTTCAGGACTGCCTTTGCACATGCATCAGGACTGCCAGAAAACAACCAGTCTGGGGCAGCGCCTATAACCTATCAATTGTGGACATGCAGTGGCAGTTGGCTCCTTCTCACACACCCCTTCCCCTGACAGGAAGGGCTGATGACAGCCCTTACCCAGGGCCCCATACCCTTGGGTAGGGAGTATTCTGGAGGGTAGATTTTGTACAGTTAAACTCACCAGCACTTTTGGATCACTGACTAATGCTGCACTTGAGCATTTTGGGCATCTCCCCACTGCCCCAGTCCTGCCTGCCCATCTGTGCTAAGGGCTTACAATCAACTGAGGGAAGCAGAGTAATGAGGATGTATTTAAGAAACTTAAAATGCTCAGTAATACTAAGGCCATAGAGGGTAGAATCACAGAATAGCTCCCTACTGAACACAAGTGCACGTGTCCTGTCTTTCAAACTGCTACCTCCTGTGCTCTTCAAGATGTCTTCCCGAGCTTACAGAGTTTACCTTTAATGCTGATTTCTAGTCAAGGTGGTTTGAATCCTACTAACCCTTAAAGCTCTCACAATGTAATTACAGAAACACAAGCTGGATCAAATTATTTTTAATGAAGTCCTCTTTTAGAAACATGCATGACAGGAGGTAAATTGCTCTTTTGTTAGATTTACTCTCTATTACCTTTATGCAGATGTTGGTTTGACGACGCACCTGTGGAGCTGTTGGTGACTCCCATCCAGTGCAAGTGGGTGTATTCACTGGCAGCAAATGTCTGTATTCAAGACATGGTGCCATCTAAAGAAAAAGCCACATCACATCATGTCATTAAGGCTATCACGAGGTTTTTAGTAATTTCCTGGTTAGAGTCTGCAGCAGCAAAGTCACTAGAAACAGAGCAACTGATAGCCACAGCTGCTGGTACGGATCCTTACAGATCTCAGCTACTGAGAAAATATGAAGACAACTGGAAAGAGTAACTTTACTGACAACTAAAACTAGTCCAGAAACGTACTCAGTTAGTTCTCAGTGAAATTAAAAAGCCAGAGAGAAGATAGTTAGAGGCACCAGTGCAAAAACTTGGTGCTCTTACATATATGCCCACACCTGCCATGATTCAAGGTTTGAGGCATGATGGATCTTCTGTAGCTATGACACAAGCAGTAGTTACTAACTAACTGCACTACCTAGCACTGGAACAAGATGCATATGGAGGTCCTGAAGATGCAGTGGCTGTTGCTGAAGAGGAACCTGAATTTGGTCATTTTTCCTGACACTGGCAAAGGAAACACAATTTACTTTTCCAGTCTTACCCTTACCAACATATCTGGCACTTGAAGGAATCTCTGTTTCATTTTGCCCATCATTTCAGAATTACATCCAGTGCTAAAGGTATTGAACAAAATCACAGAATCCCAGACTTGTTTGGGTTGGCTCCTTAATTAAATGTGCCCTCCTAAAAATTATGAAATGCAAACAAAAGTCTCAAGGCTCAAAGTTTCACATGAACACATAAGTAAGGTTATATAAATATATATACCATATATATTTATGGTATGGTATGCAGTGGTGCATGGTTACACAGAGCAGGCCCTGTCTCCTCCTGTTGAAACAAGAAGTTCTGTGGAAGGAGAGGAAGACAAAGGGATGGTATCCCTCAGCCGTGGCGTGTCTGGAGGTTTGCACAGGGACAGGGGAATTGGCTTCAGATCCCACAGCTTTGACACAGTCTCAGAATCCAGACCCAGATAGCCAGAGATGATGTTCAGTTGTGATCCCAAGTACCATCAGTACCCCAAGCCATCCGAACTGCACGTGGCAAGTGACCCCTGTGGTGCTCAGAGCCACAGACTTTCTTCAGAACAAAGGTTTTGTTACACACATTTCAGCACCTATTTCTGATACGGTTCTCCATGAAGGAATATATAGGTAGGTTCTTTTGAAGCTGGTCTCAATCCAGTTCAGCCCGGTTAAGTTAATGTAGCTTGTCCCAACTAGTAGTACCTCTATTTACTCATCTGAAAGTGACACTGACCTCTGGATAAACTGCACATTGGCTGCTAAGAATCAGGCAGGGGAGTTACAAGCAAGGATGTAATAAAATCCTAATATTCTCTAGGGCCAGCATGCTAAAAAGCTCTGCCTCACCAATATGTAAAGATGCTCGTGAGCTCAATGATCTAACACAGTTACTTGAAGATACAAAGCAGAGAAAGCAGATTTAAGCAGTAAACTACTGCTCTACTAATTTAGCTACCAATAGGGAGAGGCAGTGTTTCAGGCTATGCGCCATTCATCACCAGTTAGTGTCTGTGTGCCTGCTAATAGAGTAGTACCAGCAGCAGGAGTAGTATCTGACAGGTATTTGTTCTCTCTTGTGCCCCTCCTTCCCTTGGGAGGGACGCATAGCCTGCAGGCTCTCTTGTTCCAGCAGGATTGCTTTAAATACACTGCCCTTGTAAGAGAAAGCACTGAAGCACTTTTGAAACCCAGAAGTGATGACATTTGTGACGGGTCACTCCACAGCCTCAGGTCAGACTCCAAGAAAATGCAGTGACCTGAATATAAACAGGTCTACAAAAGATGCACAGAGTTATTAATCTCATTTCTGGGGCCCTCAAGGAGGGGGCATAAACAGACCGAGAGAGAAAAATGCCCCTCCTTATCTTCATCAGGTCTTAGTTATTGCCTTCTGCTTCCCCATTGTGAAAACTGAACACACGGGAAGTAGAATGCTAGTAACACAAGCCTTTTACACTCTTATCAGTACTGCGACTGCATTATGGCCCCTTACACATACACTAGTTGCTTTGCAGAAAAAGTAGATTTTTTGTACTATACAAAGAAAGAGAATTCTGATTACTTCTATGGGCAACATATCTAGAGGACATTTAACAAGGCAGAAACTGTAGCAAGACAGCGACTGAATCTCCTGAACACCCATTAACAGATACCACGTTTAAAGGGCACTTATTAAATGCTAACCACGTTCGCCTCAGCTGCAGGTGCGCTCTGAAGTCTTTCTGGAATCCAGTATCAGAAACAGCTAGGTCAGATACAGGTATTCCTTTAAGATGGTCGTACTCACACCAACAGTGCCAGATGCCTGTTAAAAATCAATCAGTATTGTCGTGGTTTAACCCATCCAGACAGCTTTCACTCACTCACTCCCCCCCTTTCTTGCCCTCCCCCTACTCCTGGAAGGACGGAGAGGAGAATCAGAAAGAATGCAACTCCCACGGCTTGAGATAAGAACAGTTTAGTAACTAAGGTATAACACAAATCACTACTGCTACCACCAATAATAGTAATGATAAAGGAAATAACAAGGGAAGAGAATACAACACCCCATCATCAGGCGACCAATAACTTGCCCCCCCCCCCAGCCCGATCAAGCACCGACCAATACTTCCTCCAACCCTGCAGTCCACCTGCCCTTCCGGGTAACTCCCAGTTACATCCAGGGCATGACGTGCTGTGGTATGGAATACCTCTTGGGTGAGTTTTGGTCAGGTGTCCTGTCTCTGCTTCCTCCCGGCTTCCCCTCCTCCCTGGCAGAGCAGGAGGCTCACAAAGTCCTTCGCCAAACCAAAACATCATTGTTATCAGCTCTGTTCCCAGCTGAAAGTCAAAACACAGCCCTGCACCAGCTACCAAGAAAGAGAAAAATGACTGCCACTGCTAAACCCAGGACAAGTATCAAAGGAGCAGTTTTGAAGAGTGCAAAGACAAGGTTGGGGTTATTTAAATCTTTGACAAGTGAAGTGTTTTCTCCTCAGCATGTCAGGGAAGCAAAACCTGAGCACACGACACTAGCCAGCTATAACATCACATCTACAGAAAAGAAAGATCAGTACAAGTGAATGCGGACTAAGTACACTGGGGGTAGATAGTTCAGGTTACTACATCCGGGACTAAGTATCAGAACAGCTGGATTCTTACTAAATTTCACTGCCATTTAAGCCCTTCTCATTTAACTGCATCTAAACCTAGGCACCACCTCTCCCAGCTACAGCATTTAACTGATGTAATCACTTACTTTCCTTCCAAAAATTAAGCAATAAGGAAAAACAGCCTCAGAGGCTGGAGGATTACACCTACCATAACCTATAATCGCAATCACGCCAAAGATGAAAATCCAGAAGAGAATCCCAGCTGTGAACCTCCATAACACAAGGAAGAGCAGACTCACAATCACTGCGATGAACAGCCCACTAGAAAGACGAGAAACAGAAACCCACCGAGAACAAGTGTGAGCACCTTTCTTGCGTGCCTCTTACTCCAAATGAGGGTCACTTCATCACATTTAGGAGAATGGTTTGCAAAAATGTATTTCTAAATCTTCCTTATGAAATATTTCCTCGTGGCTCTCTGCTGTTAGAAACAAACATGATCTCACCAAACACAGCCAGAAATGTTTGTGCACACCAGGTTCTCAGGGTGTCTGAACAGGACGAGTACAAGTCTGGTTTTGTCATTACACTGGCTCACCAACTCACTGCCTTTTCCAGGCCATGGCCTAGTCTACAACACACAAACGGGAGAAATGCCTGTATGCGGAGGTTGCTGGTTTATGTCCTCCATTTAAAATCCCTGCTTGCACAGAAACAATATTAGGAAAGAAGCATTTGAGGAGCTTTCCTAGAAAAAAAGAATTCATTTTAGGAGGAAAACCAGTGACTCTTTCTAGCCATCAGAGTAGAAAATTATCAGGGCATAGTGATGCATGAAAAGAAGCTGTTAAGAGCCATCAGTGGGACCCCTAGGAAGGACATCTCCAGTGTCTTTATCAAGTCTGTGGTAAGGAAATGTTTGCTCTCATTTCACATCTCCAGTGTCTTTATCAAGTCTGTGGTAAGGAAATGTTTGCTCTCATTTCACTCCCAGAAAGCAAGTCAGAAAAAGGAAGGAATGACTGCAAAAGGCCTTTTTACTCAGTGGGTTTCTTCTAAAGCAGTGTAAACAAAGCAGTGTGAACAATGGTTCCATCCAACCCAGATCCAGCTCAGACACTTCCCAGAACATTTCATTTCTCTAGAACTTTGAGGTGTTACATCAGAATTTTGTATTAGAACAGACTCAGAAGAAATGAAACCCTCTTCTTGCCTGTGGTCAGGAACTTCTCTTGTGAACGTTCCCAGTTTATTTAGCCAGTGACTAAAGATAACAAACAGATCAGTCTGACCACAGACAATCAGAACCGGATGTTTTGGGCAAACTAAGCCAGATGGGCAGGGGGACAAGAAAAGAACATCAGTTTATGTAGTTAAACCTTTGTAAACTGGTCTGAAGTCCTAGCACTTTAAAGGCTTCCCAGCATGATGTGTTTTCCCTTTCTGAATGGCTTGTTTGAAATTCAGAACGTATTCCTCAAAAAAAAGCTGCTGTTTTGCAGTTCCTGACTCTTCTCTAAAGCACTTCAGTTACCTTTACCTACAGTTAGCTTCAGATTTACACGAGTCCTAGTAAACAAAACTGAATGCATGGTAACAACTGTCCTTAACAGAGTGGCTCCCTTCAACTGAGCCTTGAAAGTAGCAGTTCTCCGGGAGGAAGATAAAAACAACAGAGCAATTCCATATTTCATTTTTAATCCCACCTCCTTTCACCATCAGGCCTTCACTCTCATCACCCAAACTCTGGCACTTTAATGCGTTTGCCCAGAAGTCACTGGATGCATGCTGTCACTTGGTGAAATGTGTGAGGAAAATTCTGCCCAACTACTTTAAAAGTAACAAGAATTCCTTATAAAAGTATCCTATTTGAAAAATGGAAACTGGCTTCAGGACTGAGAAACTCTGTTTACAAAATGGTCAGTTCTCTCTCCAGCCCATCTGTTGAGCAGTATCTCCTTTGTAAGAGTCTGCACTATAAGCCTGATTTCAGTAAAGGATCTAGAGAGAACTGCCATTTAGGCACATATACTTACATGCTTGCGTCAGCAAAACAGCTACTTCTTTTGTTTTGGTGCTGCATTTTTACTAATTGCTCATTATTGCATAATAATTTCAAGAGAAAGCTAACTCTATTCAGTAGTTTTTGTTCTTTAAGTTGCTTTGCCTGCTGCACTGGACTGATGGAGTTAGATTGGATATATGTATTACAATGAGTTTACATATTGCTAGTATCAATTTGGAAATTGGGATGTGTTTTATATAGATACTAATGACATTTAGCAACTGCAATTGGTTTCAAAGTCTCTTAAGATTTTTTAGGTTTGGAATTACCACGCTGATGGGTCCTGCCTGGTAGGATATTAAAAAGCTACTCCAGACCATACTGTATGCATGTATGCTCTGCTATCCTCACCTCATGTACAGATCCATAACAACATTACAGCAGAGTTTAAAAGCAGGTTTGGTAACAAACACATACATGATCTGTTTTTCAATTCCCTACACACTCCAAAGTGAGTTTGGAAAAACATAAAAATACCCATTAGAATCTTACATTAAAATCCAGTACCAAGAAATGGCAAAGTCTTCAGAACTTCTTACTCCAACTGATCTTGTATTCAGGACACTACTGATGCTGCTGAGAAAAGACAAACCAGAGCAAAGGTTGCTTTAGACAGAAAAGCAAAATGTATTTAAACACCAAATAGGCACAGTGAAGGAATCTGAAATATCTTTGCTAGTCGTGAGTATATTACTATTCTTCAACCCCAGTTCCATGACCAAGCCAACATCAACCACCGTTACCCCAAATCAAAACAACTGTAAAAATGTCCACATGACACCTGGAAAAAGCTTTATTAAAAGAGCTTTATGAGTATTCACTCCTGCCAGATAAAACTGACCACTATGTCACAAGTGCATACTATTTGGATCTGCAGTGCACCAAGAGCCAAACAGCTGTCACTCCTGAACTGCTAATAGCAGAGAAGCAGAAAACAGCTCAGTGAAGCAAAAGGACTTCTTTGAGTTATTTTCCTGTCCTGCAAAGTACTTGCCCATATTAACGTTCTCCTAAGAAGAAATGAAGACTCTTCTTATCAAAGGACAAACAATGTAGTTGCAGATGCCAGAATAAGGAAACTTCCTAAGGTGCGAGTGTTAGCACTGCTGGTAAGGTGCTAGAATGTGGTAGCCTCAGATCAAGAGTAAAGAAAAGGTACCCCTGTGCTCCAGACAGGCTGAGGATGGAGAGCAGCTGGAAAAGGGAGGCTACTGCAGCTAGTTTTCTCATCCTGGTTGCTACCCAGGATTGGAGATGCTTGCTGTCCATCTGCAAGGGAGGTGCTGTTTGCCATCAGAGCCCAGGACGCTGCCTTTTGACCTTTAGACGTGCTAAAAACAGGAGCATGCTGATGAGGTGAGATGACAAAGTACTAGGACAGTCCATGGTAGTGGAAAGGCTGCTGTAGGAAGGAAGAGCTGAGGCCATCACTGGCTGGCCTGAGTCCTGCTGCATGAGGACTTCAATTTGAACCTCCTTTATCTTTCCTTGGTACGAATTTTTGCTAGGAAAACCAAATGGAATGTTTTAAAAACTGACAGTCATTCTGAGGCACACTAACGCTTTTAGCTCCTTGCTCACTTCTGCATACCACAGTGATGGTCTTCCCTACTGGTACTTTGCAAGTGCTCAGGCACAGAAACCATCTACCAGCAAGTCTTGTCTGGGTACCCTCAGCCATCTGCTGCAACAGGTTCTGATTTGGTTTTTTTTCAAGTCTAAATTATTTCACAGTCTCAGAATCCAACATGTAAGCACTTAAGAAGGGTAAAACCTGCTTTGCAGCTTCCCTGAGATTGGTTGCATTTCTTGTTTTCCCTCTTCCACCTTTGGATGTAGTCTGATTTGCCATGGCTAGCACACCATTCCTCATGGACAAATCCAGGAAGCATCTCTTAAGAGCTATTCAAAATACCAAAAGCAAGCAGGAATGTTCCACCTCACATCAAGCTCCACTTTTGTCACTTGTGTTTTGTGACATATTTAAACAATTTCAGAGTCAAGGTGAATTGCTTTTCAGCTGATTATCTAATGGAATGTTGACTTTGAGAACTCTTGCAAGAGCCATTCTATTAAACATCAGGATCTTTTTGTCCCAGCTCAGGCACGGTGAGATCACCGCTTTCAACTGGAGGTTCTAGGTGCTCCCAAAGAACAACAGTAGTATCTGTAGCAGCTCAAGAATTTGTAATGAATGCAGAACTTACTCTCTGTCAGTATCTGGGCAGCCTACAGAAACTGCAGCTTCTTCTTCATGAAGAGTATTAGCATCCAAACCAATACATAACAGCAAGTGTCAGCTCCTCATATGCCAGGTTAGCTCCAGCACCAGCCGCTATCCCTAGACATTCCTGGAGAGGAAGCAATGGAAAAAAAGACAGAAACTATTGGTTAGACAGAGGGAGGAAGAAATTATAAAAGAGACAAGGACAGATGTTCACATACTCATTTACATTGCCTTGCTCTTTGCTGCACCACTTCCTCGTTTTCATTCCAAAGGGAAGCACAGGTCAGTCCTCCTGCACAGCTGTACTTCACCTTTATCTACCAGTTCTGCACTTTCCATATCAGGTTCCAATAAGCACTGATGCCTGGGCTCAATATTCAGCCTGGAATACCTACCCCCCAGTTATTCTCAGGAAATAACTAACATGTCTCTTTTCCTCCCTCTCTCATCTTCACCTCTGGCTGCAGCCTAAAAGAAGATACGAGCTTCTTTGCAAATGACTTTCTCTCTTTTGGGTCAGTACATCATTTTTCATACAGATTTTTAAATTTTTATCATTTAATCCATTATTTTCTCTTTTTGACAGCCTGTGCCTGCTTTACACGATCTCTATTTTAAAGCATGGAAAAATAAACAGCAGGTCCTTATTTGCAGGAGCTTCTAGGTCAGCGACAGATACTCCTGAGCTCTGAGACCTGTTCTTGTCTACTCAGAAATACCTGCTGACCATAGTGACAAAACCATTTCTGTCCCCTTAATTCCTCTGCCTCCCTGCATAGGCAGCACTACGTGCAGCACTGAAAAGCAAGTTAAGCTGTAACTGGGCTCAAGACCACCTGAACTTCAACAGCTGCCCACATGAGTGCTCCTACAATCGTGGCATTTCCTTCACGCCAACAGGTTGGGTTGGGTTGGGCGCTCACATGTTTTGGAAGGCACAGTTTGCACTGTAAAGCATTTCTTATCAGTGATGATTCAAGAGCAAGAAAGAGCTCAGCTTGACCCAATCACACTCCAAGTGTCCATGGATGGCTCTCTAGGAAAAATAATGATAAATCTTTATACTCTCAAACTGTTTAAAACTGAACGGATGCCACTGCCAGGTAAGAGCCAGCTCCTTGTGATCTTGCCACAGAACACTTTTCAGGCTGGAATTGCGATTTCATGTGAACGCTTACAGTCTGCTAAGATGTGTGTAAGAAATAGATCCATTCATGAGGCCTGCTTGGAATGATCACCGAAGGACAATCTTCACCATGTACGGCTTGAGCAACAGACTAAAAAGGGGAAAACCGGGAATGCTGAATACAGAGCAGAATTAACTACATGGGTTTTGCTTCCCACCCACTCTGAGAAAATGCCCCAAACTGCACTCTGTAGCCTCCTCCCCAAACCTGACTGCTGGAGCTGAAAGACATATTCATAATGTGAGAATCCAGCCTCTCAATGTGATCTGGGAAAAGACTATTCTTTACTTTCCTAGTGACAAAAAAGAAAAGACCTCTTCACTTTGGATCGGCAGGTGAGGCAGTAATGACTGGGCGATTGCTCCTTGCCTCCCCCTTTTCTCTTGAAGAAGAGTAAGAATTTAACACAACTAACATAGCTGAATTGCAAGGTGGTTTAGAGATGGGAGAAATAACACAGTACATTTGAGTCCAAAATCAGTTCCGTGAAAGACAGATTTCTTTTCCTAGCTGAATTACTGAGGAGCTCTACATAACACAGGAGCTTTAAGAACCGGTTTGAGACACTCTGCTCAACTGCTGTGGAGTACTTAAGTACTAAAGGATACTTGCCACAGCACCGCAACCACATGGAAGTATTCCATCACCTCCTGATACGTACAGACCTTGCGAGGACTGTTAACACCAGGCTTGCAGAACTGCTTGAAGTAATTCCACTGATCGGGTTTGTATCTGTAGGAAGCCTGAACACAAATGTAGGTCACAAACCTGCCTGGGCACTTTGAGACACAAAGCTGCAAGAAAAGAAGGGTTTGAAATACCATGACTTAAACAGGCACACTCTGTGCTTAAAGACGTCACCTTTGGGTGACAGACACACTCTGTGGTTCAGAAGAATGCTATCTTTGCACAACCTCTGAAACTAAACCGCTGCAAACTGCTGTTGTAGTTAAACAGTAAGTTGGGGTACCAGAGAGTTCTGAAATCGAACCCTAAAAGGACATAAAGAAAGAAGGAAGAGGAAGGGACCTGCTGGACACCTGCACAGACAACACACAGCCAGGAGCCTGTCAGAGCACCAGGACAGTCTGGAAACAGGAGACCTCCCCAGAAACAAGTCCTGGAACATTTTCAGTTCATCCTCAAATAACCTCCTGTGACACCACACTCATTTTCAGCTGCACGCAGTGACCACTCAGGTCAGCCATATTCTGTCCTGTAGGGTGCTGGACGCACAGGCTGGGCACCGGGCCATCCACAGCTGTCTCATACATTAAAAGCACTAGGATTTAAAGGGCATTTGTAAATCTTTAATGAAAGAAACTCAGTGTAATCTTTAGACGGCATAATTTTTAGACGGCAGAAAATTCTGTGAGCAAGCCTTAGACCAACTGCTCCCTCACGGAAGGCCTTCAGCTCGATGGCCAGGGCAAATCAGCAGCAGAGCAAGTAAAGATTCTGCCTGTTCTCAACAGGCTGAGACTTAAAATCATTCAGCATAAACAGAGAAGCCCTAAAGTCACCAAGTCTGGTAACTCGATGCGCCTTGCAACACAGATCGAGATCAGGATCAGCTCCCTCACAACACTGTCTCTGCACCTAGAATAGGAAGCATTCATGAAGAAACCTGATGACTTCATTGGAGCAAGGCAGGTCTCCAAACCGGGGGAAACCAGGAGAGCAGCAGCAGCAGGACAGAAATCCTCGCTGACCGTCTCAACAGAAAAGCTGTAATGCGCTGGGTGGGCTCCCCCAGGGCACAGCTCACCGAGGTCTATTTGCAGAACAAAAGGAGAGCAATGAGCCCTGCCCTGCTGCGGACCTCACTGCTTTCCTGGAGAGAATTTCAGGCTCCAGATCTTTCAGCATCTTAAAGCTACGGTGAACAGTCTCATTGCCAAAAGAACTGCAATCTTAGAATGGAAACGAACAACAGGGAATTTCTTGGCTAGTTTCTAAACGGGTATTTCCATCTTCTCCCCTTTCACTATCAATGAAGATACAGCGTGAATTGAGAATCCTCTGAGTAACTCATCCCGGTTTTCTTACTCCCCCTAGTACCGAGCACGACGTGCTGTGCTATGTACGGAATACACCTTTGGCTAGCTCAGGTCCGGGGTCCTGTTTCTGCTCCCTCCCGGCTCCTTGCGCCCATCCTCACCGGCACAGCACGAGGGACCCAAAAGTCCTTGACCGGGATAAGTGCGACCAAGCAACAACTGAAACATCGGTGCGTTACCAGCGTTATTCCCAGAGTAAAGGCGAAACTCAGCGCTGCACCAGATCCTAGGCAGAGAATTAACCCTGCTGCAGCTGAAAGCAGGGCAAAGGCAGAGAGACAAGCACAGTGGCAGGGGGCAGGATGCCGGGCCAAGAACCTCCCAGGCGCCTCAGACTCATCAAGGGAGATGAAGCGCACTGGGGGCTCCTGACCCGGCTCGTCCCCGGCAGACCGCAACCCTGCCGCACCGGGCGGCCAGCGGGCAGGAGACGCCCCTCTGCGCTCGCTTAAGGGACGGACGGACGGACGGGCTCGCTCGCCTCTCCGATAACCCCGGACCCCCGCTGGGCTCGGACCTCACCTGCTGCCGGGACCCTGCCTGCCGCCATGCTGCTCTAGGGGGCTGCGCATGCGCACACCGAAACGGCAAGCCGGAAGGACCAGAGTACAACGGGGAGCGGCGGCGGCCACTGCTCACAAGGAGCCAGCAACCACCACGTGACACCGGCCACTTCCGGGAACAGCAGCGGGGACAAAGGGAGCGCCACGGCTCATGCGCGGAGCCCAGGCTGCAGTACCGGGCTCTGCGCACAGGTGGCAGCAGCGAGAGGCGCCAAGCGTCACACCCGCACCCCCCCACCTGCCGTACCGAGTTTTGGGGGGTGTCCCCTCCACCATCCCCCCCTGCCCCAACCCCTGCAGACCCAGAATCGGGGGTTTGGGAGTATGTTGGGGCCACCGCAGCACAGCCCGTCATGGAAAGGTCTTTTGGGGGGCACCACCTCAAATCAAGCTGTTACCCCCCTTTCTTCAGAGGACGCTCCCATCCTCTACTCACCTGCTCCTCTGCCGAATCATCGCCAAGCACCGGCCTTCTGTCCCGGCACCTTAGGCTTAGCAGTGTGATAAACACATAAATGTATTGGCTTTTGCAAATCACAGGTGTGGTTATGTGGACATAACTGTGCCAGTTTACAGCAACAGAAACAAAGCTCGCTAAAGACACAAGATTGGACAACAAGATAAAAAGGGCCAGAACTCTTGAGCAAAACGGAGTCACACAGCAAAAGAATTTGTAAAGGTAAAAGAAAAGGGGAGGGGGGCTGATACAGTAAAAGCTAGTGCCTGAGAAACAGAGTTAAAGTACTTCTAAAGTATCTTTAAGTTTTAAAGAACAATGTTGGTGCTGTCTGTGGTGAGATGACAGGATTGAGTGGCCCCACTAAACATGAATGAGTTATTTCACACCATCCTCCTACTTACCAGTTAGTTTACAGACAGAGCCTCCCAAACATCGGCTGGCTTGGGATACTCCTTGTCTGCCCATCCTGCAGGAAGGTCACACTTTTAAATCTTTGCTAGTTATCAGAACTACAGATATGGCTGGTTTCAGCTAGTTGTGATTGCTGGGGCGTCCAGGTGTGCCAAAGGTGAAAAGCACACTGTGAGGAAGACTGCTTACTTCATCTTGAAGACCCCTACTCACAAGAGGAAGACTGCTTACTTCATCCTCAAGAGCTCTGCCCACAATCACCGCAGAGCCGTGCACAGACGCCAAGAGGAGGGGACTTGTGATAATAAGTTCCGGGAGTTAGTTATAATATCCCCTGCCTATACATGGGAATTATGACTATGTAGGTGACTAATGTAATAGTGAAAGTATATAAACCTGTAACAAATCCTAACCGCTTGCGCCCAGTGCTGTTGCTTTTGCTTTATTGACTTTGTCCCTCAATAAAACCTTGTTATCTTGTTTAGAGGAGTGAGTTCATATCTCACAGCGGCAGGGGTGGGCGTTTGCACTTGGAGAGCTGGTTTCTGGGTTGGCTGAGGGTGCTCCCCAGAGAGCTTTGGCACAGAGGGACTTTCACATGGCTAAGCAAGGGTGGATCACTACGCTGGCAGCGCTGTTCCCAAGGACACCATGGGCAGGTGATGCCCAGCAGCAGCTTTCTGTCCTGCTAGCACCTTAGGCTTTAGGAGCAGGGCTGGATGTTTGCACTTTGGGAACTGCTGGTTTCAGTGTCATTCACAACATTTGAAGGTGGTATGGGGGCATTTTTAGAAGGTTTTGAGCTCAGGTGGGGGCAACTTGGGCTGTTTGTGCCTAATTTGGGGTAATTCCAGCTGTTTGGGGGCATTCTGCGTGAATTTTGAGTTGCTGTGGGGACTTGTGAGGCATTTGGGGGAGTTTGGGGCTATTGGGGGGCTGGTTTAGGACAGTTAAAGCCACTTTGGGGGTCATTTGAGCTGATTTACAGCTATTTGGGTGGGGTTTTAAGCAGTTTCATACTCATAGAATAGTTAGGGTCACTGTAAGGTTATCTAGTTCCAACTCTCAATATATAATAGCTAGGGGTACACTTCAAAGGTTGGGGGATATATGTCAGGGGTCAGAGGTAAGGGTCAAAATATCAAAGGCCGGGACCAGATTTCAAAGGTCTCGTGTTAAGTGTTAGCGTGTCATATGCCATGGATCACAACTGAATGGCCACAGCCCCCCGCCATCACCACCACTATCGGCAATACAGTTTTGGACACAGGACAGCAGCACCACCACAAGAACCCTTACAGAGTCAGGGGCTTTCCTTAACCCAACGGTGGTGTTTGAATGAAAAACAAGAGATCAAAACAAAACCAGGCTGCAAGTCCCTTTGTCTTCCTATTTATTCCAGCATATTCTAGTTAAAGCCACAGGAAATACGCCTTCCCACAGTGACCAGGCATCTTTAACAAGAAACACCACAACAAAAACGCTCTGCAGGCCCAGTGAAGGAGGGGACAGCTGCAGCAGAGGCAGGTTTCACAGCCCAAAACCCCATCCGCGTGCGTACCTGTCCCCTTGCTGAGATGTGCGCAGCAGCTCTCCTGGGGCGTTCATGCAAGATCTCCCAGGACAAGAGCTGCCATGCTGCCCTGCATCTCCCTAGATGCTCTGGAGAGCATCCCTGGAAAACACCATGGCCACATGTCTGTGCTGCATTAAGCACGGAATGCATGAAGTGCTGTGGAAAAAGAGCACCAGCAGGGCAGTGCAGCGCAGGAGGAAAGGGAAGGGAAGGGCTGAGGAGTATTTCAAATTCTTTATTAAAAAAGAAGTCCCAGTTAAAAACATCCTGGCTGGGCCCCTCTGTGGGCAGAGGCACAGGCTGGGCCCCATGTCCTGGCCGGACCTGGGCCTGTCTCCAGCAGGGCAGTGCAGAGGCTGTGCTCCTGCCCCCAGGGCAATGCAGTGCTGGGCCTGGGTCACAGCTCTCTTGAAAGTGAGAATGAACTGTGGTGTTGAAGAAGGCAAGAGGAAGGAGCAAGGGAGGCTCTGCAGACACTGGAAGCCTGCAGGTCTAGGGCCCAGACTCCTGCCTGGGATGAGCCACAGTGCCCATGGTGCATAGCAGCTTTTCTTCTTTGGAGAGAAAAGCATCACCAACCACCAGTCATTTCTTCCAGATTTCCCCAACAGCCACGAATTTCACCAGCTGCTCACATAAACACACCACGCTCCCCACAGGAAATGCTCTTGCAGAACCCTGAACCTTCCTTTTCTGCTAAACAACGTGCTTCAGGTTCCCTGCAAATAAAATGAGGCAGAAAACGGGATTTCCACTGATGGTTCAGCCTGCCAGGGGCAGTGGTGCACCCCTATGCCTGACAGCCTGGACAGCCTCAGTGCAGCCCCTGCTCACCTCTCTCTCACTTTTCAGAGGCTGCTGCCCTCCTCCCATTCAGACTTGGGCAACTGCCAAAGGGAGATGCTGCCACCACTGCCCACTACAACCTCCAACTGGCCTGGCTGGATACATGGGCCAGCACTGGAGGGGCACACACTCACCCCAGGCTGCCTTGTCCTTCCTCTGTGCCGGATGCACTGCCAGAAGCGTGCAGCACAGATCACTCCCAACTCTGGAGCAATGCTGTTCCTCCTCTCCTGGACAGGTCAGGGAGTGTCCCCTCCCTAGGATCAGCCTGTGCTTGGAAATGTACTACTCAAGACACCCACAGCCACGGCATCTCCTACCCACCTCCTACTCTGCTTTGAATACCAACACATCACAACATCCAGAGAGTGGAAAGGGCTGCAGAGACCTGTCTCCCTACCTCCAGCTCCTCCTGGGGACAGGGGCAAGACAGATGGGCAAGGGCATCGAACAAGGCTGGCAGGAGCTTGCTGGGCTCACCCAGCTGCCTACCCTCAACTCCCAACAGCTTTCAATCTCCTGCCTGGCTAGGAGATGCATGGAGATCAGGTGGGGAACCATCCTTGCCCTCAGGCAACGCCCAGCCCTGCAGGAAGCTCTGGGAAGAGCAAGGCAGCTCTGGCTCTGCCCCAAGGGCCAATGGAAGGATGCTGCAGAAGGTGGCCCCAAGGACACTACACATACTCCTACCAAAGGCAGAGCAGGGGCTCTCATTAGGCCTGAAATAAAGGAAAAGAATAGCTGGGGCTTTGTGGGACCTGGGGCAAAGCACTCAGCATCCTGTCCTCAATTCCGCAGCAGCCTGGTGCACCAAAGGGCTCTGTCACCTTATTAAAGGGGGTTTGTTTAAAAGTAAGGTCAGGTTTGTGAAGAACTGGTGACACTCCCAGTTACGGTGAAAGATCATACTTGAAAAATATAATCATCATCCTATTTGAAGTCACGACAACCAAGTGAAGTCCCCAGTGACTGGACAGGGAAACACTGGCAAGTCAGCCTCACCTCCGTACCCAGTCAAGTGAATGTGGTCCATCTTTCTAGTCTAGTTCTAGAAGGACTCCAAGGAGCTTTCCTGCCAGCTCTCTCTAAGACAACTGTCGGCCTGGAGCAGGAGCATTGCCTTGGACAACTCACCTTTGATGGAGTTAATGATTTCTTGAATTCTCTGTGGCTCGTTGCGGTCTGGTCTGCAGCTCGGTGTGATCTCCAGCACGTAATCCGGACCATATTCTGTGAAGAACTGCAAGGAAGAGGAGAGCAGAGTGAGTGTAGAGGTCTCTGGTGGGCTGTGGCTGTGAGAGAGTTCCCCATGGGGACCCATTTGTAAAAGGAGAAGAGCATTTTCTCCACCTGAGGTGCACGTGTACCTTAACTGTGTCAAAGAGGTGCTTCTGCAGCATCTGTGCCCGCTGGAAGTTTGCAGCCACTATCAATTGAAGGGCTTGGGAAGCAGAACTCTGTGGTGCAGCCAAAAGCAGCCAGATGTCTTTCCCAGTGCTTTATTAGGCAAAGCTGGTGACACTCATTTTACTCATGGCTCCCTGCAAACCCGTTTGTTTGGGGGGGAGGTTTTCTATGAGCAAAATTCAAGTGCTGCCTATCAGATCTCCTTTCAGATGTCCACCCCACCTTGCACAGTGCTGCATTGGCATGACTGTCAAGCACTTGGAAGAAGAAAAATCGAGAGTTCTTTAAGGTTAATAACTTGTCTTTCCAATAGTGTGCAGGTGAGCCTGAATGAGAAAATCTGCAGCACATGGACTCTACATGGTAATGCAGAATCCCAAATCACTGCCAGCAGGTTCATTTCACAAGCACACAGCACTGTCCAAAGACGACGACACACTAGGGTTGAAAATTCAGTGCTGAAGTTGCAGTAGGTCCTGTTGCTATCCCTGGAGCTTCACTGCATGGAGAGCTAGCCTGGACTTTGAGCTATTGCACCAGACAGGGACATTCACAGAACCACAGTCTCCCAGGTGATTAATGATGCACAGGGCTGATGTTTTCTTTAAGGGTGATATTGGAGGTGGCAGATCTGGCAACCCAAGACTGACATCTCTGCATTAGCATGGGCATCAATGGCTTTTCCAAGCAGACCTCAACATGCCAGTACTGACAAGGAAAATTAAGTTATTTAAGCACACCTCTCAAAAAGCATCTTGTAGCTGTAATAACCAGTTTATATAATGATGAATTTTCAGTTTCAATGCACAAAAATGCTTTCCTTCCTCATGCATACTGACCCATGAGATCCTTAGACGAAGGCAAACCCATAATTCTGCTCTGAGTCACTGTAGGCTGGAACTGCTTTGCCCATGCAGGTTTGTTTCTGTCGGGTCAATAACTTTGATCTGCATTTTGAGACCTATTATGAACCTGTAGCTATTCCATCTAGATTCAGGCTAGACTGTACCTCTCCAACCAGCTGCCCAGCCCCACTCAAGACAGGAACCGAGGCAGCTCATGTGCAGTCGTGATCAGTACCTGGCCCCACTGCAGCACCCACTGCAGCACTGATGGCAGCGCTGATGGTCAGAACAGCTGCAAAGCTACTCCTGGTACTTCCTGTAAGTTTATGAAAGCAGGACTAAAACATAAAGCCCTCATACAGGCCTGGCACACAAAACACATGCATATCCAGAAGAGCTCTCCGAGCATACAGGTAACTTCCTTTCCCCAGCTTCTCCATAATTATCACAGACTAGAAGTTACTGGCAATCCCAATTCCTTGTGAAAAGGTGCAGACAGCCCCAGGGTTGGGACCAAGCACCCGCTACATTGCTAGGACAGCGCATTATTGTTACAGGAGTGTCTCAACAGAACAGTATTGAGCAGCAAGGAAGCCACTTGGATTAGGGAGAATAACTCAGCTCTTGTGCATGGAGAAGGGAGGGTTCATCAAAGCTTTACCTCGTGATCAGGGATCTCGGAGGACAGTGTTCTCCCAAGGATGACCCCAGTCAAGTATGTCCAGCAGCGAGCTGTGTTGGCAAGGTTGTAGCCTCCTGTCTCCAGCAAGATTTGTGATTTTCAAGGGGGGAGAGTGGGAGAAGAGGGAAATTTTACTGAAAGGAACACACAGTTTACATGAATTCAGCTTGCTCCATCCACTCAGGCTATGCCCTGCATGTTGCATCCACTGGCTACACAAGGCCAAGTTGGAATGACACGGTATGCAAGGGCAGACCTCACAAACTGAACCCCAGTTACACTCAGCATGGCACAGGCCTGGGTCCTCCAGTCATCAGCTCAGACCCAGCATGAGCTGCCAGCCCCATGTGTTGGGCTCTCTCCTGGCAACAAGGAGGGGGGATCAAAGGCAGCAGAGAAGGAAGTGCAAGGCTAGCAGTGGATAGGGGGGATCCTTGCTTTATAATGCCAGCCTCCAACCCATAAAGCATGATATACATGGCAGGCCATTCGCTGGTGAGCTCTTCAGCCATGTCATGTTTGAGAGGATCAATATGAAGCTCATTGGTACAACCTGGCACTCAGTGAGTTTTGTTGATCTAAATGCTGTTGTATAAAGCCTGTCCTGCTGGATAAGCAGCTGGTGATGCAGTATGACAGAGCTAAATCATCTTTAGCCTTCAGAGCCCTGCTGCACTGCTCAGGCAGCCAACCTGTTTCCCAGGTCCCTGCTTAAGTAAATCATTCATTGCCAGATGCCCAAGGTAAATTTGGGAACACAGTGCTCGCTTTCAACGAGAAGCACTGAAGGACTGATGAGCAAAGATGGGAATCAGAGGTGCCATTGAGAAGCCAACGTCAGTTCATCTCCAGAAGGGCCAAAGACCCTTTAAGTCAAGATCTGAGGATCAGGATTAAGACTGGCATTAGCCAGCATCAAGGATTTCAGGTCTGTGTGAAGACAGCACGGTGGCACAGGTCACTCTCCTGCCGCTGCCTGCAGCCACCCTGCCGAACTCCAGCCAGAGCTGAGCTCAGGACACCTGCCTGAGGACAAGCCACGGGACAAACCCATCTTCCTCATGACCAAAGAGCAGGACAGGCACACTCACCTCCTCCCAGGACGAGGGTCGCCAGCTGCCACTGCAGGACATACTTCAGGCACCTGCCCACTCCCTCAGGCGTCATGTTGAAAGAGCACATGGGATCCCCAGCGATGGTGTCTGCCCCCAGCTGCAGCACAACTGCATCCGGGTTGAACACGGCGTACACCTCCTTTAGCACACTGCAAAGAGAAGCAGCAGCAGGGGTTACTGCAGACACGGCTCAGAGGGTGCTGGTGGTATGCTCTGGTCCCTCAGATCAACCTATGCTTCTCAAGGTTTCTGCGTTCTCTGCTCCCACCCCCTCATACAAGTTATGCTCCCTCTGCTCCCAGTCAGCCGCCTGGCTCTGCTACTACCCTGCAGACAGTTTTTGCTCTCAAAGCACTCTGATGAAGGCAAAAGCATTACTGAGAACACAGGGAAGGGGGATCTAGTCCTGATCAGCTTAGTGGTAGCATCAAACCACAGGTTTACATCAGCTGCCCTGAGTTGAAGGGCTGCAAGCCAAACCCAGGGGCTTTTCTCCCCTGTAAAAGTCACAGTGAAAAAACAGGTCTAGAGAAATAGTAATCCTGAACTCTCAGACACCTCTCACCAGGGCAAGATGAAGAAAGGAAGGCTCTGTCCAGGTTCCCACTCTCCTCTCTCCAGTATGGCTGAAGGCAGAAATACATTTTCCCTGGCTCTAGTGAATGCTCAGGTGCCTTGAGACAGTTCATGAGCAGTATTCTCTCTTGCAGAAGGCAGTTGGGCATGTCAGACACTTGACTTTGCTCCAGGTTTTTAGCATTATGAACACCACAGAGATAATAATCCTGTTTGCAGCACGGCGCTCCAAAGCCCAAAATACAAGGAAAAATATTGGAGAAAAACATGGTCTTTCCACAACAGTGTCTTTATCTTGCTAAAGTAGAAACAGATGTGAAAACAAAACAAAAGCTGCTTGGGAAACACTTTCAGCTCAGGCCCGAGCAGATCTCCCACAGATGGTCAGGGTTCAACTCCACAGCTAAAAGGTACTTGCCCTGCTTTCAGCTGCAGCAGGGTTAATTCTCTGCCTAGGATCTGGTGCAGCGCTGAGTTTCACCTTTCCTCTGGGAATAACGCTGGTATCGCACCGATGCTTCAGTTGTCGCTTGGCCGCGCTCACCCTGATCAAGGACTTTTCAGCCCCTTGTGCTTTGCCAGTGAGGAGGGGCACAAGAAGTGTGAGGGAGCAGAGACAGGACACCAGATCTGAGCTAGCCAAAGGCGTATTCCTTGCACACCACACCACGTCATGCTCAGTCTAGAAACTGGGGGGAGTTACCCAGAAGAGATGGGTCGCTGCTTGGGTTGGACTGGTCAGTGGGTGCTGAGCAATGATATTGGGCATCACTTGTTCTTCTCTCAGCAGGGTGTGGGGTTTATTCCTTCCTCTCTCTTCATTTCCCTTTTTAACTAGCATTATTTTTTACAAGAATTTAATTTTATTCACATTACTAAACTGTTCTTACCTCATCTTACAGGTTTTTACATTTTTGCTGATTTTCCTCCCCATCCCACTGGTGAGTGGGGCAGAGCGAGCCAGCAGCTACCAGCTGGGCTTAAACCAGGACAGTCCTTCTCAGTCTCTCCTTAAACACACAAGGCTGACCCATGACAGAGACCCTCCAGACATTCACAAATGCCTCTGTATGTTCTGTTTGCTTAAGGATTCACACAAGACCTCCGAGACCCCTTAAGATCAGTGTTCGCTGCAACCAGAATCTCTAACGGGGGAGATCCTTCCTTAAGAAAGGACCATAACTTAAAATAGTAAAAAAAAAAAATATCTGTGCGGTCTATGTTCTATAAAACCCCATCCAAGTAAACCAAAACAAAGCAAGAGGGCTTACGTTTCACAGATCTGGTAATATCTCTCATCCTGAATGCCATCTTGAATGGGTACATTCACGCTGTAATAGCGACCTTTCCCCAGGCCAACATCTGTCACATCCCCAGTGCCTGAAAAACAGAAACACTCCATGGTGAATTAGGGGAAGCAGATCAGGAGCAAGAGAAATGTCTCAGGTGAGAGCAGAGAGCCCAGACCTTTGGCATGCTCATGGACAGGTCCACCTCCCACCACCAATAAAAGGAGGGGCTGGGTGGACCGGGTTCTCACCCCCTGCCCAATTCTGTTGTGCAACTTTCACAGGTGTGCAGGTGGCCACCCAGCAGTGGCTCTGGCAAGCTCAGCTACAACCACAAACAGGGGAATGTCAAACATATAGCTCCCCTTCTTTCCTTCTTCTGGGTCAGCAGCAGATGGGACCTGTCTTTGCTGGGGCCTTGTCAGTGATGATCAAGGTCCTTTCCAACCCTGACCATTCTACAGTTCTACATGTGAACTGAATTAGCACAAACCTCCTAGTGTTCAACTTGCCTGGGAAAAATCCTGGTGAGAACTTATGCAGAGAAACAGTCATTACTTTTGAGGTGAAGCTAAAGGCATCTTCAACTCCTATCAGAAAAGGAAGAGAAAAAAGCTTTCATGCATCATTCATATAAATGACAGCCACTGGATAAATGAGCCACTTGATAAACATGCCACTGCAAACAGAGCAAGAACAGAACAGAGAAAGCGAAAAACCAGATGTGGCTCAGGAACTCCACCCTTAACCAATGGAGATCTGAATTTGACTGCAGCAAAGGTCACAACTGAAAAGAATTTGGCAGGCCTCATGCTAATCAGTACTGGTACTGAATGGGTCTCAAGGCCTGAGATCAGTGCCCACATTAGCAGCACTCAGGGTCTGCACTGCTGGGCCTGCCAGGCGGGGGGAGGCAGCTGAGCAGGGATGCCTTGGCCAGAGCTTGGCTTCAATTAGAAACAGAGCACCCAGGCTCTCTGGCTTTTCCTCAGCACTGCTGCAATGAAGTCTGCCTTTTCTTTTCTTTAAAGACACATTAAAACAGTTGGGGTGGGAAGGGAAAAAGAAGTAACAGGAAACCTAACAGAAACCAAATGTAGGGGAGAAACAGAGCAAAATGAGACACAACATAAAATTCACAAGAGCAGGAAACATTAAATGATGTTGAAATAATGCTTCTGAAGGAGAGACTGATTCCAGCATGGCCAGCACTAGCTTTCATTTTATAGCATCAAGAACCCTTTTAAAACCACCATTTACTACTGCTTCCCTCTTGCACTGGTGGTGTCAATCAATCAAACACTGTCAGCAGTTGCTCTGCCAGAAGGGGAGACAAGGGACTGGGGGAAGTTCTTGCTGGAGAGCCATTAGCACAGGGGATTACTGGGACAGGAACATGCTGTTTGTTGCCTTAGGTACAAGACTTCTGCCCAAACCCTCAAGAGAGGTCTGATGAGTGGCACAGGGCAAGTCCATAAGGCAGGACAAAGCAGAAATGGATTAAGGGAACTTGACTGCAGTGAAAGGAGTCAAAGCCACAGCTGCTGGAGCACATACAGCCCCACTGCACTGACATGCCTTGATTTCTCCCATTCCACCCCCCAACCCAGCGATGCTGCTGTGCTGTCTGCAGCCTGCACTGGTCTTTACCATCCCCATGATGCAAATCCAAGTCGATATAAAGGACACGGTCAAATTTCTGGCGCAGCCGCAGGATGCCCAAGACGGCGTCATTCAGGTAACAGAAGCCAGAAGCTTCATCTCTGTGGAAACAACATCCGTGAGTTTGCATATTGTCAACGCACCACTAGTCTGATCTTGGCATTAGCTCCATTCTTTTGCAAGTCTCCGCCCTGTGGGTGCGCAGAGGAGTATGAAGAGCCCAGCCAAGGCCCAGCACAAACCAAAGGATGGGTCAGAAACAGCTCCAAGCATGGCTGGGGAGCACAGAGAACATGACTCCTTGTGCCAATGGCTTCACAACCCTGGGCTGGCTAGCAGCTGGTAAGGCACTGTCTGGCTCTGCCACAGGAGGCCTGAGCCATGGAGGGCTTGGCCTTGACCATCTCACTATTGCACAAATAAAATCTCTGCTTTCTGCAGCCGAGGTATTTTAAGTAAGTTCAGAGCCACCCAACTCCAACAGACTCCCTCCCCACTGCTACCTCCCCTCCCTCTGCAGCAAGAGAACAGGCCCCTGGACAGCCCTGCTTGGCCCTTAGGGTATGGAGGTTAAGCCTCTTCCCAAAGCAACTTTCTCCCTTCCTCCCCAGGAAAACACAAGCAGAATACCCCATAAGGCAGTCCCCCACAGTGCAGCTCCTGGGCTAAGCCAGACGACAGCCGCAACAGCTAAAAAGAGGACAGATACTGCATGGAAAGATCTATTAATCCCTAACATACATCAGGGGGCAGCTTCCATACCGCTGGTATCACAGGAAAAAGTGTATTAATCCCTACTCCAAACTCTCTTCTAAGTCAAATCCCCAGCACTGCTTGGCAGTAGCCCACTGCACTCCAAGTCAGCCCTGGAGAGCTGATTTAAACCAAAGCTTTACACTTTGCAACAGGAGTGTCCAAACCCCCATTCCCCAGGCTCAAAGACTCCAAGATCTGAGATGTGCCTCTTGGAAATGCTTCCTGACTTTCAGCCACAGCATTCCAGGCATTTCCTGACACTCAGCAAACAGCTGGAAACATTGAGGAGCAGGTATGAGGTAGCATAAGTGCACCTGCTCTCACTCCCTGCAACTGTCACAAAGCACAGATGCTTCCCATTGACTCTGTTCATTTACAGTGATGATGAGAACTGAGATGCTAGCAGGTACTCTGGGAATCTTTCTTAACTGTGATTACAAACCACACTCCTCCCTGCCTTCCCAGCCTGCAAGAAAGCAAAATGAACTACATCATGCCTCAGGCACTCTCTCCATGACATAACACACTCACTCTTTCAACCTTGAGGCCAAACAGAGCATGACGCCAGCTCAGAGGCTGACCAGCATCAGAGCTGGAGCTCAAGGAAAGCACTTGGGATTTCCCCACCCCAGATCCACACAGCAGAGCTCAGGCAGAGGTCAAGAAAAGGCACCAACTCAGCACCTTGCCCTCTGCCTCAAAGGCACTCCAGGGAACTAAGCATGGTGACAGTGGTTACCATTCCTACCTTCAGGTAGATAACTAAGGCACCAGACAGCAAGTCTTTTTGGACAAAAGGATATGTATTTTGCTAGAACACAGGTCCTAGCACCACACACCTGCAGCTCAGCATCAGTCTTGCTGAACCTTCACACTGGACTGGCACCTACCAAAGCTGCTGCCTGCCCTGAGCATCCCACACTACCTCACTGGAGTGACTGGGAAGGCTCCTTTGAGATCAGCAGGTATGCAGTGCCTTTTTTAAACACTGTTTGCATCCCACAATAGGGGTAACAGCACAGCTTGGTGGCAGCAGGACTGCAAAGGTTTCTTCTGTTACAGGCATTTGATGAACTGTGCAATGAAGATGAAAGAGAAGATTGTTAAAAGCCTGTGAAGAGCTTCAGCTCCTTCCCCAAGCTGCAGCCAAACCCATATTCAGCAAAATGCTGACCACGAAGAAGGCCCTGGTACAACATCGGCACCGCTGGTAGTTGCACCCGCTGCTACACCTCTGCCAGGTCAGAAGAGTCACTGGAGCAAGAGCAATCTGCACACCCACGTGCAAGTCGTCAGGGTAAGACGTGATTCCTGCTGATTTCTGGGGCTCCGCAGGGAAGAGAATGGTGCTGCAAAGGCCAGATTGCTGGGGGCAAGGAAGGGTGCCATCCTGTCTGCATTTGCAGACAGGCCTCATATTTTGGGAGATGGGGGACATGAGTTAAAACATACAAAACAGAGGCCACGGAAAAATTATTTTACCACTAGAGAACCACACAATCCAGGGATGAAATTTTTACTTCCTCTCCTGTTGTTCTGAAGTTCGTTATTAACATCACAGATCAGAACAAAAAGCTACCCACAGTGCATGGAGAGAACAGTGGTCAGTTCTGCACTGCTTCAGACCTCTTGTTTAAGAAACCAAAAGGCCACACAGACCAATATAGACAATGTGTTCCCATTCTCTTCCAAGTTAGGAGTGACAACACACATTTACCTCTCCACAGCCCTTCTCTATGGAGTTTGTAAAATCAGTTCTCACTTGAACTCCAAGAGATAACCAAGTATCCACAGATGTCAGGACACCTCTGAATCTATCTGCCCCAGACCTGCACTGCAGTCCATGATAGCATAAGGACTGGGCAGTAACATGCCTACTCTCAGGCCTCGGCCGTATATTCTGCTTCTTCCTGCAGAGTATAGGGCAGAAGGCTACCTCCTGACCTTCTTCCCTCACCCCTCTCACATCCTGCTTTCTCTTCCAGCTGGATGGTTGCAGCCTGAGGGTTCAAAGGGAAGCTGGGAACTAGGAGCAGGGTTCACACACTGGCTGAGAAAACACAAGGGAAGAGATTGTTTTCTTACTTCTTTGCATGATGCCACCCTCCAGGCCAGTTAATGGCTACCTTGCACTTGCCATCCAGCAGACACTGGGCTGCAGTGATGGTGGCTCCTCCCACAGCTGCCGCATACTCAAAGATCCCTTCAGTAGCTGGACAGTCATAACCTGTGGGCAGGAGTCCGTGTGTCAGACACAACAGGCCTCTTCCTCTCCAGGAAGCACATTTGATCTTTTTTGAGCTCTGTCTTTAACCACTGCTCTAACTTTCTGTACCAGGCACAATGAAAAAGGCATAGCACAAACTCCTGCAGCCCAAGATGGTCGACAGTGGAGCAGATCATAGAATAACAGACTGGCTTGGGTTGGAAGGGACCTTAAAGATCATCCAACCCCCCTGCCACAGGCAGGGACACCTTCCACTAGAGCAGGTTGTTCCAAGCCCCACCCAAGCTGGCTTTGAACACTGCCAGGGATGGGGCAGCCACAGCTTCTCTGGGCACCCTGTGCCAGCGCCTCAGCACCCTGATAATAAAGAATTTTTTCCTAATGTCTAACCTAAATGTACCCCATTCTACTTTAAAATCTTTCCCATTGTCTTGTCACTACAGGCTTTTGTAAAAAGTTCCTCTTCTAGGTTTTCTGTAGGCCCCCTTTAGGTATTGGAAGACTTTTATAAGGTCTCCCCTTCAGGAGCCTTCTCTTCTCCAGGCTGACCCAGCCCAGCTCTCTCAGCCTGGCTCCACAGCAGAGCTGCTCCAGCCCGTGCAGCACCTCTGTGGCCTCCTCTGGATTCACTCCAACAGCTCTACGTCCCTCTGTGTTGTTGCTCTAGACAACACATGATGAACTGACCACAGCCCTCATTCCCCATCCCCTTGCATTGCTTAAGGCAGCAAAAAAGCTGTGAGTGAAGTTGAGCCTAGGAGGAAGGGTGGATGAGAAGGACTGTAATTTCAGTTTTGTTTTCAATTCTCACTGTCTTACTCTGTTATTAATTGCAACAAACTGAACTGATTTCCCTAAGCTAAGTCTGTTCTGCCCATGATGGTAACTAGAGAACCATCTTGCCTATCTTGACCCATGTTCTATTCCATTGTATTTTCTCCCCTACCCTATTGAGGAAGGAGAGCACAGTACCATGGTGGGCACCTGGAAGCCAGTCAAGGTTAACTCACCACAAATATCAACAATCAAAACATTTCCTTTCACTCAGATCATTCAGAGCTGGGTCTTGATCCGGCTTGTGATGTGTGTGCCTGGCTAGCCCAACCTACTGGCCCCTCACATCCATCTTGCAACACCACTCTCAGTTCTCTGGCTACCCTAAGAGAAAAGCCATGGCACAGTCCCTGATGTACATCCCCCATAGAAACAAGACCTCCACAAAGGAGACAGGCCTAGGTAGACTGCAGGTCTACAGCTAGATTATGATCTTCACCTAGGCCAACAGCAGCCTCCCTGAAGCTGCTCCTCAAGCAAGGCATAACTCCAGGGCTGCTCCTCTGCCTCCAGACAGACCAGCTTCAGAGACACAAAGGGTAGACCTAGGGGAGACCCATGAGATCAGTGCAGAATGTGTACCGCTGCCTCAGTGCTGGGTCACTCCTCCTGCTCCTGACACTAAGAGTACACAGAGCCATCTTGCCTGCTCTAACTACTGCATTGTTCAGGATGTCTTAAGTGCAGGCAGGTGGCAGCCCTTGTTCAGGAGGTAAGCAAAGTCACCCAGAAAACACCCGGACGACTCTGGTGCCTGGCTGCAGCTTCAGGCCATCTATGTGTCCTTCACCACAGCAGACTTGTGGAAGCCAAGGTCAGCAAGTCAGGGCCTTCTGTTCTGCCCGAGATCCCAAAAGCAGCAAAGGGACTGGCTCCCGTACGCAAGGGATCGTGTGAGGCTGACAGCACCCTCTGCTGGCAACAGTTGAAAACGCCAGTCTGACAGGGCTCAGCAGCACCCTATCCAACAGCGTTTCTCCCCAATAAACAGCCTACCTAAGCTCAACCCTCTGTCTAATCTCAGCGCCAGCGCTAATCTCCTGGTCCTAATACTCAGTTAATCTCTCACTGAAGATACATATCCTTACCCAGTCCATATTCCACGGACTCCGGATGGTCATCATCTCCCTCCTCACTGACCTTCTGCAGGTGCTGCAAGTAGGCATCTGTGTGGAAGCTGGCCATCTCCTCCATGGAGGCCACTTTTGGCTTGACTATCCTAGGCAGAGAGGAGGAAAGGAGCACATTCAGGACAAGACGCTCCAAGGTTTGTCAGGAAAGCCTAGCTTTAACGTCCTCAAACAAGGAGCCTTCTTTTGCCAGCTGCTGACAAAGCAAACAAAACTCCCGCCTCCTCTCACACCAGACTATCATTTGGAGTGAAGAAGCTGATCAGCTGAGCTGGCCTTTCCCCCAGCATGGCACTATCTGCTGTGCCTGTCCCAGTGAGGAACACCTGCAGGTGCTGCCTGCATTAACCTTGCCACTTTGCTTGAAGGTTTTCTTCCTTTTCTGCCTGTTCTCCCAGTTTAAGCAGTGCCCAGCACATCCAACACTCTGGTTAAACACACAGGAAAGAACAGAGTGACAACGGCTGGGCCCAGCCCAGTGCTGCAGCAAGACATCAGCCTGCTGGGTCAGGAGGCTGAACAGCAGCTCCACCTCTGTCCTCAGCAATTCCCACATCACCTTTCCCTAGTTGTGGTGCTTTGCAATCTGCCTAACTAAATCCTGTGACCTGTAGAAGCCCCCTCCAAGCCTCAGGCCCTGGGGGCAGCTGCAGGCAACAGAGTTGCTATAGGAAGAACACAAGAAGCTCCCAGCCTTAGGCTAGCCCAGTGGTGAGCACTTCTAACCCTATGCCAGGGCAAACAGCCCTTTGGGTCCACCTCTGCAATGGCACCTACAGATGTTTCCAAAGCGCACTTTGCAAAGTGACCAGAAAGAAAAAAATCCCTTAAGAAGTGTCCACAGGCACCTCTGGCCCTGCTGGACTGACGTGTGGGACTTTCTCCATTTGTTTTGTCCAATTTTCCATAATTATCACAATCTTGTCCAGGTATCAAAACTCAGACTTCCTTTATATCCTACAAATATACACTGCCAGGCTCCTGGAATCATTCTGTCGGCATGGGCAGCCCTCGAGCTACCCAGTACCTTCCCCACCTTAGCAGAGAAGAAAACATTCCCTTAACAGAAAAGGAGAGTACTTACTTCATCTGGTCAAGTAAGGCATACGCTTCAATCAACGAATGCACCATACTGGCCTAAAGAAAAGAAGGAGTAAGCCCGTGAGCAGCTCCGCGCAGGAGCCGGCAGCAGCGCCCGGCGCAGAGCCCCCTGCAGCGAAGGCGTAATCAGGACTTCCCCCAGGAGCAGCACGGTTCGGACGGCGCCAGCCTGAGCCGGGCTCTGCAGCTCTGCGGCGGGGCGGGCACCTCGGAAGTGCCTCCTGTGTGTCCCGGCCGCAGGCGGTGCGCGGATTGAGCCCGGCTCTCCCGTGCCCCACATCGCCGCTGCCCCGGGGCCTGCGCTGCGCCCTCCCCGCACGCTCCCGCTGCGGCCAGCAGCCTCCCCAACACCCCCGGGCCTGCCGGCGGGACTCCAGGGGTGCCCTCCGACCCCAGGCCTCACCCCTGCGGTCCCAACACCCCCCCCGGAGCCGGAGTCCCCCAGGGCCCCGTTACCGCCACCCCCGGCGCGGCGCTGACCCGCTTGGGCACTTTGCAGAGGGAGTCGCAGAGGGCCACGTACTCCGGGCTGTACACATACACCGGCGCCGCCGCCATTCGGGCTGCCGCGCCGCGCCGTACGCGAGCACGCCGAGAGCGGCACTTCCGGCCCCGGAGCACGCCGAGAGCGGCACTTCCGGCCCCGGAGCATGCCGGGAGCTGCAGTCCCTGAGCGGGGCCCGGCGCGGGGAGCAGCCGCCCGCTGGCCTCGGAGCCGTTTTACCGGGGTGTCCTCAGCTCGCGGTGCCCGTTCCTTACAAACGCAGCGCCGCCGTTACGGGAGGCCCTCGCCCGAGGACGCAGCCCCGCTCCCGGAGCACGGCCGGGGGACGCTGCCGTTCCCTACTGGCGCTGTCCGCACCCCACCGACTCCCAGCGCATCCTCCTGACTTTACTGGGACAGGGAGAGAAGCCGGGCTGGGGGTTGCCCGTCCCCCGCTTTCTTCCCCGCCAGGCTAAAGGTGGCAGCTTAAAGGAGAGGAGTAAATGGGAGCGAGTCGACGCTGGGTACAGCAGGCAAAACCCCTCCTTGCCCACCCCACCTTCCCAGGTGCCTCTGTATGACAGGTACGATGTGCTGGATGGTGGAAGGCAAGCCGGTGGATGGTACAGATAACGTTCCACCTACCCCAGAGGCATTGCCAAGGTCAGAAAGGCCTAACCCCTGTGTCAGGACCACCTCCATGAGGAAGAAATGGTGTCTTACAGGGTCAGGTGATTCTCTTCTGAGGGCAACAGAGGGTCCAGTGTGTTGGACAGACCCTCCTCTTAGAGAAGCCTGCTGCCTCCCTGGGGCCTGTGCTAAGGACATCACTAGGAAACTTCCTAGCCTGGTATGGCCCTCAGGCTATTACCCCATTACTGCTCTTCCAAGTGAGTGGTGATGAAGCCACAACACATAATCCAAGGGCAATCAAGAGACTTCAGGGCCTTGGCACTGTTGGTAATCCGGAACACAGGTTATTTGTAACTCTGCCATTCTAGTGGTAGGCGGTGTGTCCAGAAGTAACAGATGCAGTCTATTAACACCTAGCTCTGTGGCTGGTGTCACTGCGACAGTTTTAGGGTATTCAATAACGGGATGGCCTGCACAGCACCAGGCCTGCTGACGTAGCATGGGATTCACCTTTCGGCGAAGGGGTCTTTGTTTACAAGCTAGTGGGGCTGACTGATAGAGCTTTAAACTAGACTTAAAGGGGGAGTGGGATAATACCAGACAAGCTGTCTGATAACGTGCCAAAACTAGGGGGCTGGCAAGGACCCTCAGCCTGTTGCTCTCAGACAGGCTGGGTACACTGCAGCACACTTGGAAGTCTTAAGCACAAGCTGAAGTAATAGGAGCCAAGAGGGAAATACCAGGCAAAGGAAGGTGACGTGACCAACAGCCCAGCTGAAGTGCCTCTACACCAAAACATGCATCAGGGGCAACAAGGAGGAGCTGGAAGTGACTGTGCTGCGAGAAAGCTGCAACCTGGCTGCCCTTACTGAAACTTGGTGGGATGAAGCCCACCAGGGAAGTGCAATGGCTGTCAATGGCTACGAGCTGGTCAAAAGGGACAGGCCAGGAAGGACGGGCAACAGTGTTGCCCTCTACATCTAGAAATGGATAGATTGTGAAAAGCTGCCTCCGAAAAATAGGCATGAGCAGGTTGAAAGCTTACTGGCAAGAGCTGGAGACCAAGGCAACAAAGGGAACCTTGTGGTTCTGCAGGCCATGTTGTCAAGGGGAGCCTGTGGATGAAGCTTTCTGACTGCAGCTACAGGAGGCATTGCACTCACAGCCTTTCATCCTCTCAGGGGACCTCAACCACCCCAAGAGCTGTTGAAGAAGCTGCAGGCAACTGTATGGGGTCTGTGTGGCAAGGGCCTGGTAGTGGGGACGGGGGTTACAGGGTGGATTCTGTAATAAGTTGCCAGAAGCCTCCCCCATGTCTGGGAGAGCCAATGCCAGCTCATGTTGGAGGAGTTTGTGGAGGACTGTTTCCTATGGGATGGAGCCCATGTCAGAGCAGGGGAAGAGCGTGAGGAGTCCTCCTCCTGCAGAGGGAAGGATGCCAGAGGTGTGATGAACTGGCCATAGCCCCCATTTCCCATCCCCCTGTGGCAATGCAGGGGACGACGTAGAGAAAATAGGAGTAAAACTGAGCCCAGAAGATGGGGGGAAGGAGGTGCTTTGAGATGTAGGTTTTATTTATCATTATCCTACTGTGATTTGATTGGTAATAAATTAAACTCATTTCCCCAAGTCAGTGTGCATTGCTTATGACAACTGGTGAATGATCTCCCTGTCCTCATCCTAACCCAGGAGCCTCTCATTGTATTTCCTCTCCCCTGTCCAGCTGAGGAGGGGAGGGCCAGAATGGCTCTGGTGGGCAGTGGGCACCCAGCCAGCATCAACCCAGCACAGCAATTCAGGAGACTCCTGGCGCGCATGGAGGGTACCTTCTTAAACCATAGAATAGGCAGCCCTATACCCGAGGGGAAGCAATACTGGATCTGATGGTCACCCACCCGAGTGAGCCAGTTGGTGACACTGACACTGGAGCAGCCTGGGCTGCAGTGCTCTCACACTGGCGGAGTTTGCAGTCCTGAGGGATACAGGTCAGGCAAAGAGTAAAAGTCAGGACCCTGAATTTTAGGAAAACCACTGCCAGCTGCTCAAGGGATTGAGCTGTGTGACCCCCTGAGACACTGCCATCAAGGACAAGGAAACAGAATTGACAGGTCTTTAAGGATGCTTTCCATAGAGCACAGGAGCTCTCAATGCCCATGTGTGAGAAATCAGGAAAGGAAGGCAAGAGCTGAGACCTGGTGCAAGAAGGAAACACACAGGGAGTGGAAGCAGAGACAGGTATCCTGGGAAGGGTATAGGGACACTGCCTGCCTGTGTAGGAATGGGGTCAGGAAGGCCATGGTACGGCTGGAGATGAACTTGGCAAGAGACAGAAAGAATAACAAAAGGTCTTGCACAGGTATGTCAGCCAGAAAAGGAGGGTCAAATAAAGCGAAACCCTCTTGACAAGTAAGACTGGTAAACCAGTAACATAGGGTGAGGAGAATGCTGAGGTACTCAACAGTGTTTTTGCCTCAGTCTTCACTGGCAACCTCTCTTCTTTAAATTAAAAGAGGGTTTATGTGTGGTCTAAGGAAGAAAGGTTTTAAGATGATGGTGGTGAAGAACACTAGCACAAGTTGCCCAGAGATGTGGTAGATGCCCCGTCCCTAGAAACATTCAAGGCTGGGCTGATTGTGGTTCTGAGCAACCCGATATAGTTGAAGATGCCCCTGCTCCTTGCAGGGGGTTGGACTAGACAACCTGGAAAAGTCCTTTCCAACCCAAACTATTTATGATCTTATAACCTCACTCACCCTGCCACTCTGTGGTGTGTGTGTGTGTGTTTCCCATCAGTCTGACCACACTACCCTGTGCGGGGTTTGACCTGCAGGATAGAGCAGAACTGGGAACCGCTCTTAAAGTCACAACCCCTCTCCAGTGCAAGGCTGCGGGAGATGGGGGCAGAAGGCAGAGCTGGGCATTCACAGCACATTTGTGATGGCACAGCTAACACCAAACTGAGCAGCCAGCTAAAAACTTCTTTACAGGACATGTATGAGGTCGGGAGCCTGTGACTTGGCCATGAGTGACACTGCCAGAAGCAGAGAGGGCATGGAGGGGCTGCCACCAACAAGCCCCAGCCAGAAGCTCTGTCCTCACAGCCCGGTGGTAACTGGGATCTGTTACCACCTTGGGATGCTCCTGGCTCCCACAGCCTCCCCAGCTCTGTATACAGGACCCCTGACCCCATCTTCGGTGAGATGGGCTGCCTACTTCCAAGCAGCAGAGCTGTGGCTGGGTTGGACCATTTTGCTTTTGGGTGTGCTGGGGGAGAGGCTCAGGGGGTACCCTGTATTCCTCTAATTAAGCTGTTCCACCAGCAGCAGGAAGAACAAGAGTTGCAGCCTACGCTAGTGCAAACCCTGCAGATCTGGAATAAAAAGCGGCACAGAACAGGTTAAAAACGTAAGATCTGCTGGAGGCATCTGCAGGGCATGCTGCAGCACTGCACACACGCCTGGTGAAGGAGGCCCTTTCCACCTCCCTCAAACACATGCACCTTTGGGGGCGATGGCCCAGAAGGAGCTGTGCAGGCAGACACTTGTAATGCAAGCAGGCCTCGAAGCTCAGCCTTTCCCCACCAGCCCAGGCTGCACACAGCTTAGGACCACGCAAGCTTCCCACAGAGCTCTTCAGGAGAGCAGCTCAGACCCCACGAGGGCAGGACCAGGAGAGGAGATGGCCACACGGGCTGCCTGCAAGCTACCTAATGCCCGTTTTTATAAGCTCTATGAAACAACCCTTCTGCAGTATCTGCAGCCCAGAGTGAGGAGCTGTGAGCGCTACTGCATGGAGCAGCCATCGGCGGGCAGTAAGTCGTACACGTACATGGCCACCGACTTGGACAGGTAGGTCATGGTGCCGAACCGCCCACTCGGCGCGCTGTCGTACAGCAGGCTGCAGATGCCTGTCGTGGGATCCCTCTCCAGCATGTGCTCGTCAGCGCCCAGGGCTTTCTGCATGTTAGACAGGGAAGGAGAAAGGAAGCATGAGGACTAAGGCAGTGTGACACAATGGGAGGAGTACGCTATGTATTTGCTGTGCCCCGTGAACACAGTGAGGGCAACAGGCAGGACTGTCTGCATGGGTGACTGCTGCATGGCTGTAGGGAATGCAGCCAATGGCCCTGGGTACAACCTGTGGCTCCTGTGTGAGGCCTGGCCCTTACCTGCTCCTCGTAAAAGAGGTCGTTGGCCATATGCAAGATCCTCTCCACAGCTATGATGCCACCAATGGTGTGCACCTCCATGTCCACCAGCATAGTGAGCACTAAGATAGCCTCCACCAGCAGCTGCCTGTACTCTGGCTGGGGCACACGGTTGAGGACCGACTCCACATGCACAGCAAACTTTATTTCCCCAGGGGTCATCTGTGAGGAGGGAGAAAGAAAGGCACCTGCAGGACCCTATCACCAGCAGAAGTCCTGAGCAATGCTGGGGGC